TACCTGAGTAGGATATATTTCAGGAAGAAGAAATTCGCCATTTTTTTCCAAATTTTTGAGAACGACCGGTTTTCTATCCATCACAACTGCAGAGGTCCATGTCCCGTTATATGTGTCTCTATATTTGATTAATCTAGGGTGTTCTTTTGAAACTTCGATTAAAACGATTAAAATGGCGACCAGAACGCTATCGAATAGACGCGTAAAAACACGACTTATAGCCCGTTTTTGCTCGGTACTTGTAACGTTATTCCCCTGTACGGGATATTTTTCTTGTTTAATATCTCCTGACTTATCACGTTCTTGCCGTGGAAGCTATCTTTAGAACAAAATTTAACATATTTTCTATCAGATGACATCAATATCTCAATTTCGCTAAAAATTGACTTAGCCCGTTTTTCCTCTGTACCCTTCAAATATACTGCACTTTTTTTTTCAGCGAAAAAAATAGTTCTATTAGTGAGAGCTGTTATGCAATTAGGAAAAAAAGTATAGCTAATCTGTGAGAATGGGTCAATATGTCTGGCAGATGAAAAATTGGATAAAAATTATTGAAACTATTGTCCTTATTTTCTCAGTCCTAAAAATTTGTCAGATGATAGTTTATATAATAATTATACAGCTGCAAATATAGTCTGGCTCGTGTGGAACATCCCGAAAGCTTTACCACACTCGTCCAACGCTCGTCAGACGCGCTAAATACGGCATGTTCAATTATACAGGTGATTGTTGTGTCATATCTACATGTTTTTACTCCTCATAATTTATGGTAAAAACAGTATTGGTTTAGGGCGAAATTATGGCCAAAAACTCTTTTCTCAACGTTGAATCCAAAAAACAAGGTTTTAGTCCGTCCGTCCGTCATCAAAAAACTTCATTCGCCACTAACTTTGTAATTATCAGAGATATAAGACAGTTGTATTAATAAATGTCAAATATTTGTTGTAGGAAATTTAGTTCTCTACAAAATCGATCTCTTAACTTTATTTTGTATCTCTCTTAGTTTTTGAGTTATAACAATAAAAAAAATCTGGTCAAGGTGACTTGTCCTAAACTTCTCATCATATGAATGTGTTCGGATCTATAGAGCGATTTTTGAAATTAAGAGTAATGTTTCTCAATTTTGTTATATTGAAAATCACGAAATTTTCAATAATCAATTTCAATTCATTTTGAAAATCAAAAATTTTCGCATCTAAAAATACGAAATGTACGACCTGGCTTGTGAGTCTGGCGGGGCTTTCGTGATTGTAAATGACAGCCAGACGTGTATCTTCTATAACATTATAAAGTAAAAAGTAAAGATTTCAAGTTAACGTCTCCTTTTTGCTGCCAGGGCTAATCTAGACGGGGCCTACTTTGTTTACGCGGAATCCGAACCGCGGTCTTCGGCCATATCATGGTCAATGGCCTACCGACTTGGCAAGTCTAAATCAACTCTTACTCACGAGATATCCGATCTCATCCGGCCTCGAACCGACGTGAATGAGCAGTGTGTGTCAATAGATTTTACACTTTTGCCTTTATTGGACAACAGCACGATACAGAGTTTCGAACCGAGTCCATCCACTAGTATCGCCTTACGTCGGTTAACTTCGGTGTTCTAATGGGAACCGGTGTTTCGACGTAGCTGGACCGTTGCCTATGACATTATAGTATTATTCATCATGTGACAAATTATTATTGATATATTAAAATATTTTGTAATTTTGACATGTTGCTGTTGAAATAATGTTCATAAAAATCTCGAAAAATCATAAAATGTGGAAGAGATCGAAATAAGTAGGTATTAACAATAATTACAATCACCCTTTTCAGAAAATTTCGTAAACTTTCTAACTTTTTTGCAAAACGTTACTGTTTAGGCTATTCTCCCCTGATGCCTTGGAAGAAATATTGCAGGGCAGTTGATTTTTTTTCAAGATATTGTGCGCCATTATTTGTTCAATCACAAGAAATACGACTGAAGTTATATTGGTCTAAATTAGTTGGTACACAATTTTTCAATTCTATATACCTTTGTATATTTATATATTTAGATATTCGGCTAATAGCAGGTGGGTCACGATTACTGCTTTTTCCTGCATGAGTTTTATGCTTTAGGTACCTTTAAAATACTTTCTTTCTCGATTTTTTGACAGTTTTTCGAAATGGCGGTACGGCAGTAGACAGTTTACAAAAGATATTTCTGAATTTTACAAGCCTAAATACACTGAGAGAATTCCTTTTTTACTAGAAGCAAATATCTTTATTGAAATACCTACTAACCAGTGGAGGCTGGTGCTATAAGGACACAGAAGAAATTCAAAATTTAAAAACTTTTTTTTCGCAAAAATACCCTCATAGATGTGTTTCTGGTGTAGAAATATAGATACTACCCCTAAAAATATTTACACCTATTTAAAACTCACCCCTTATAGTGCGTTCACTACTTTATATCCTGACCTGTGTCGCTTAAGTAAATTTATTTCTTTAGAAGATTAAAACAACTCAAAAATAACGTTTAATGTTTATGTCAAATAGGTATCTACTGCAGATTTTGGAATCATATATAATCTGCTCCGCAATTTGACGAGCTTTTTTCCCTAATCAAGAACCAAGATAATCTAATATTTTGAATTTTTCGGCGAGTGTAAGTCTTATCAAAAAATAATAGATAAAAAAACAAGTTCAGATTGGAATGCTTGGCTTGCGCCAAAACTTATAATTGTTTTGGGGTGAATACGTTGTACGGGATCTAGCCTTGCTATAGCGGTTGCTAAGATCAACCGTAAACGCAAGAACAGAAATAATTTTCTTTTATCAAAGTCAGAATCTTCAAAAAGTACCTATAAAATCTTTCAAAATTTAAAATGCCCTCATTCAAAAATACCGAAAAGTATTTAAAGCGTCCATTTTCAAAGTAATTATTGCTATCTGGTGAGTTTAATTTAAATTTTATTTACTCAAACCCATGATAATTGTGAAAAAGTGGAATTAAAAACTTGTGAACTGTGAACTACAAAAACCATCGTGGATCGTGTCATGACGTCGTCGTCGGTTTCCAATGTTTCATAGGTATTTCCAAAGATATTTGAGTTTAAATATCTTTGGCTATTTCATACATCTAGATACCTACTAATATATAAAATCCTTAAGTGACTCACTAATTAATCACGATCCTGCTCAAACCACTCAACGTAAGAAGCTCACTTTTGGCATACAGGTTGATTCTAGGGCGTAGGGGCACAGTTTAAAGAATATAAAATATATTTTATATTCTTTAAACTGTGATAGAGGTTCGATAAGAAGGGATTTTTCGAAATTCCAGTTCCAAGGGGGTGAAACCACCCCTGAAATATTACAATATTTTTTATTTAAAAAACGGTCAAGTTTCCGAACACGTCTCGGAACACGTATCTATATTTAATTGTTTTTTTACATATTTGAAGATTTTTTAAAAATGTATACAGAGTGTTTTAAAAAATCTGGTCATTGATTAATCACGATCCTGCTTAAAGCGCTTGACGTAAAAAGCTGATTTTTGGAAAATGGATTGACTTTAGGGCGCAGAGGTTCGATAAGAAGGGATTTTTCGAAACTCGAATTCTAAGGAGGTGAAACCACACCTCAAATATTAGAATATTTTTTATTTAAAAACCGGTGAGTTTTTCGGAAAAACTCTTAAACAGGTGTATTTTATTTTGTTGTTTTACATATTTTAAGATTATTTTAAAAATTTATATACAGTTTCATATAAAATATGACCATTGAGTAATCACGATTCTGCTTAAACTGCTTGACGTTTAAAGCTGATTTTTGGTAAACGGATTGACTGAGGGGTGTAGAGGTTCAATAAGGAGGGGTTTCTCGAATCTTAAATTCCAAGAGGGTGAAAACCCCGCTCAAAAATATTACAATATTTGTTACTTAAAAAACGGTTAGTATTTCGGGAAAACGCTTGGACACGCATAATTTATTTTGTTTTTTTTACATATTTTGAAATTTTTTAAAAAATCATACAGGATGTTCCAAAAAGTTGGGTAATTGATTAACCACGATTCTGCTTAAACTGCCAAAATATAATAATATCGCCATATTGGTTTTTCTCATGCTAACATAAATGTGAGATCATTTTATCCAGTTTGTATGTTAATGGAAATTCTTGCTTTGCTTTATCATCACCATTACAAATGATTCGACGCGAACGAAATCGCGGGTACAAGCTAGTGTCCTTATATAAAATAAAGTTTCTTATATACACACTGTATTTTATTAAGAAATTAAAAGAAAATAATAAATTTTAATATATAATATTTGGGGACATAATTCCGGAAAAAGTCAAACCCAGCGGCGTAGCTATCATAGGACAGTTCGGTGCAAAGCATTAGGTATAAAGTCGGTCCCACACGATATCCCAACGTTGGACACATGAACATTTGCCACCTTAGGAGACACACTTGTCAATTGCAATATTGTCAAAAACTGTGCAAAATGTTGGTTAAAATATTGGTACAATAACACAGGGGTATCGTAACGGGATCCCAAACCCCATCAGCAACTTAATCTAACCTAACCTAACCTAGATATCTATCTATTTAGGTATTTCGACCGTTATTTTTTTTATTCGACTTCCACAAGCCAACCTCTAATAAAAACACAAATCAACCTCAATCGAATTAGACAGTTACATTCGCCATTGTTTACCATCGTCAACGGCAAACAATTAATTAAGCTATTTCCACCTCTCGCGCCTTTCCACATCGACCCCCACCAATCCAATCAATCGGCAATTGGTGAGCGTCGAATTTGACACCTCGCGCCGCTAAAAAAACATCATCAAATCAATTAGCGACGTCCCCAAATGAGAGGCCCCTAAGCGCCCAATCAGTGTAAATCGTTTTCGCGCTGCTCCTCCCACGATTAAGAGGTCGACCAATGAGATGAAACGCTGGGCGGGGTTCAGGTGCACGTGCTCGCAGGTAAGTCGAATGAGAAACGAGAGAAGGGCTGGTCAGTAACTTTATACCTGGATTATCCGAAAGTGGAGTTTCAGTCAGGTGTCGGTATTCTTCAGGTATGTCAGTGAAGTTTGCTTTTTGATTGTGCGCTGAGCGTCGTTAATGCGATCTCGCTGACGGTGATTTTAGCTGTTGATTTTGATTCGAACAATTTGATTTTGTCGGTTCAGGACAGATTTGTTATCGGTGTTACGATAAACAGTGTAGAAATCGTTTATTTTCGTGTTGAGAGTGATATGTTGGACAGAAGTTTCTGATTGGGTCAATTCTTACTGTGAAATATCTGGCACAAGGTAAGGTTTTTGTTTAGATTATTTATTTTCAGTCCATAGTAAAATATTTCATTTTATATAAATAAAATACCTTTTTTATTTGATAAAAAAATTACAGATGTTTGTTAAGTAACTAGATACATCAAATACTGAATTAAAAAATCAGTCACTTTTACAAAAGTAGATACCGGCGAGAAAATATTTAAAATTTTATATAAAATGATAAAAATATTATTCCATGTTGAAACCTTAAAAAATTGTACAGATTTACTTATAAAGATATATTTTTTTCGATAAAAAATAGACTATACTTAAATACATAAAAATAGCAATCGAAATAAAATCACTGTAGAATTAAGTATGAACTGATAAAATTCAGTATTTTTTGCGGTGTACCTATAGTTTTGGGTGTTTTTATTTGAGGAATTTTGTAGAAATATCTGCAAAAATCTCACTGGTTTTATGAAAATTAAATTCATTTTATTTTATTATAGAGAAATTTATATAAATCAATTTATTTATATTAAAGTATTTCATTTGATTCTTTCATAAAACTGACTAAATTAAATAAACTTCTGTTTATCTGAAAAATTTTGGAAAAATAAATTAGAATCTACTTTCAAAAACTAAGGTAAACGTACAGGGTGGGTCAAATTGGACGCTTTTAAAGGGAAACGCTCTTTTCTATATGAGATAGACGGAAACTAATATCGGTGTTTGGAGCTCAATTTTTGTCAAAAACACGATGGTGAAAACCGCATATACTGTTTCGAAGTTACGGGGTGTTTTTCAAAAATATGCATTTTTAACAAATCGCTGTAACTTTTTTGCTATGGAAAATTTTGTATTTTTATGAAAACATTTCCAAAGCATCTTTTTACGTAGAATTTATTGGTTTAACCCTTAACAGGCGCGGTCGGAAATTTTAGCACTCCATGCGTTGCGGAGTCCCTGGGACTCCGAAATATACAGGTGCGCTGTATTATAGTGTTATCATAACATAATATTTTTTTTTCGTTATATACATCGTTAAACACTTACAAGGAAATATATTTTTATTTTTACAGCCATATTATTTACAAAATGAAGTAAAAAAAAGAAACAGACAAAAGGTAATACAGTTTGTACAAAATGAACATTATGCTACTTTTCATCGTATTTTACAAAAAGAAAAATATAAACAAAAAACATTACTCATTGAAAAACGTGATCACCAAGGTGAGAACTACAAAAAAAGAGAATACAACCACCCCTAATGAAAAATTGCAAAAAATTGACAAGTGTTTAAAAACAAATAAAATATAGCTTTTATTTAGGAATCTTCGGTATTTTCTATGCATTGAACATATACACTTTTCTTGAATAACTATTAAATAATTTGATTAAACAGAAATATTTTTTAGTTGGATCAGTTGCGCCACTGTCCTCTAAAGTTTCAGTAACCTCCATCCCATCTTGATTCATTGGCAGACATGTCACTCGCCATGTCGTGATCACTTGTGATAACATTTTCTGTTGTAACATGACTCTTAGGTTCTCCATCTTGGTCAGAAAACTCTTCCTCACTTTCATCAAACCATCTTAACATAGTTTCCCCAAAGTTAGGATCTGTGGCTTTAGCCACCTTTAATTTCTTAGATCATAGTCACTAAATTGATATCATTTAAACTATATCTAATAACAATAAAAATAAATAGCAAACCAAGACATGAGATTTTGCTACAGGTGTTCAACATATCAACCGTCTTTTGTTATGGACAGACAGGGCCGTTTTTGAATATTTCTCGCGGAATTCATAGGTCGTATTTTTGAGTTTCTGATTTAGCTCCTTATCTTTTAATTAGTTCTCTATAGCGTCATTTTTTGCAATAATGTCATCAGTTTCGTAAATCACTTTTAGTTCAGATCGTATAGCAACCACTCGGTCGAAGAACTGGCCATAATGAAGAAGAGATTTAAACGCATCTTCTGGAAAAGTTTTTCCTTTATATACATCAAAATTGCAGAGTTCGAGAAATTTAAAATCATTTAAACCGTTAAATCTACAGTTTATTTGTTGCTGAATATCTGTCCGAGAAAACGATTATTGACTAGTTCATTGTGTTGGCGGTGACCATTGACGTAACAAGAGGGGTGCCGGGGGGCGGGCACTCCCTGTACCCCCCAAGTACTGCTGAGCACCCCCCAGAGAAAGCTTGAATTTTGACTGAACGATGACTCTTGGCTAAATATTAATTTTTTTTTGCTTGTAATGTAGTACCTACCTAGTTAATGAAAAAAAGTTTTTCCTTCAAATTCATATACCTACCTACTATGTAGAGATATTTTTTGTTCCTCAAGAAAAATCTCACGTTTATATACCAAACCGAATTAAAAACCCAATTTATTCTTAACTTATTAATAATATTCTTTCTATTCAGATAATAATCTGAGATAATGCGTAATTTGTGTCGACCGTTGCCCATATACAGCCGGGTAATTTATGAAATTTTAAATCGCTACGCGCTTTATACGGTCCCGATTTGGCCTTAACAAAGATTTTCTCATGAATTATTGGACGGAATTAAAGACTATCCGTCTCTCATGAAAAATGCAACTGGTCGTTGGTGTAGAAGGACGTACGAAATAGGAAAGTGGCTGAAAACGAGTCGCCAGCCTGCGTAAACAATATCTTGGTTAATACGACGGTGTAATAGGTACCTCGTTGCTTTAAATCAGTAGAGGTTTCACGAAAAAAATAAATGGTAATAAACACCACAATTGTGTAAAACACTGCTGCATTTTCCGTCTAAAGGTTGATTCTCACTTTACCTTCCATATCAGCTCCCTTCCGTTTCACTCCCGTTTACATAAAATAATATATCATGTTTTATTATATTCATGAATAGGACAATGCACACTATCCGTTCCATTTCTTTTCTGTTCTATATCCTTTCCTTCCATATACATTTTTTTGGCGGACGGACTGAAGGGTATCGAAAACTGCGTTGTCAGGTACTGACATTGGTACCAACTCTGTTAAAATTTTGCTGCTATTTATTAATCTTTCACATCTTAATTAAATCTATTACCTTTTTCAAAAAATACAACTTTTTAAAATAAAACTTTCATAATAATATAAATTGTATAATAAAAAGTATGGAACTGATACGGAACGGAAGCTTACGTATAGCGTCAATACAATAAAAAATTCACAGATTTTGCAACATGCGCAACCATCATAGGCGTATTGAAAATACCAGACACAAAAGTCGGCGGTGGTCAGCAATCACCTGTTTTTTACATTTTATATTTTTTACTTGTGACGTCATTTGGAAGAGCTCAATAGAAATATAAAAGCACTAAAGCTTGTTTGGAAAGCAATTTGACATTCGTGACGTCAGCACTCCGGCAGTCTAACGTATCGCTAATTGCCATTCGCAAATATATTCCAGATACGTATAGTGATATTGTATTAGTATTTTGATATTTGATTTTTATCGTAATGGCTTTTTATAAAAGTGAAGAATTTAGTAAGAAAAATATTAATGATGGAGATGAACGTGTACGGATTCATGAATGGTCACGATCATGGTCACGACACTATAGAAATGTGAGGTATGTATGTATACATAGAATTAATGGCATTAATTTGCAATAGCACCTCGACCCCACAGTTTCATTATGGAGCCAGATTAAACCAATCAGAATGAGTATTATGTTACCGTAAAAACCCGAATATTGGTTGAGCCCGAAATATGCAAAAAAGGTCACTTTAGGTTAAGTTTAGATTAGGCCTATATTTTTATTAATGCAAAACCAACTAAAACCTAATTCTAATCTAACCTAAACTCACTCTCTTTTTTGCATATTTCGAGCTATTACCTGGGTATTTCTAGGTTTAACCAATATTCGAACTTACGGTGTAAATTTATGGACCGTCCATAAATTTAAATTCGCCGTACAAAAAATAAGTAATAGTTACTGTAGATAAAAATAAATTAAAATATAGTTCCACGATAATTTAGTTTGCAGCTTCTTTTCATCATACCTAGTAAAAACCCGTCACAACCACTACTCATAGTATGTATACCTATGTATTTTTAAACATCATTATGAGATTTGAGTCATACGTGCCCATAAAATGAGTAGCGGTATTGACGGTTTTTGTATGATGAAAATGTTGTGTGATATGAAAAAGCAACAAAATATATTATCTATTGCAGCAACTATACCTAGTTTACATTCAGTATGTTCAATTAATATAGAACATTATAGCTATGCGTGATTTTAAAAAATTGCTACCATTATATTTTGATAGTTGAGTTTTTGAAATTATTTGTTAGCTTCTTAAACAAAACAGACCCATAATAATTCAAATCTTTATCATCCAAGACTTCCAAGAATTATAAAGTAATCTCACGTCAAAATTTTTTAAAATTATTGCATGCCTTAAATGTTTGCAAAGTTAACAAAAATATGTCTTTGATTACCTGCAATTAATATATTTGGTCCAATTTATCAGTTCTGCATCATATCCGAAATTCAGATTGAGTGTGACACAACGAAGACTCAATGTGAAACGTGAACGACAAAAAAATGGCAATTAAAAAAAATTGTAAAGTCTTAATTACTAATTACACAGTCGTTCTCTTGAGTTCTCCTGCCTAAAATCTATATTGCCTTCTCTAAGATTTTAAATATAAATGATTGAAACTCATACAAGTTTACCACAATTCAAACTTAAGATAATTATTTAATTATTAAATCCATAATTATATTAAAATATAACACTTACGAAGTTACTAAATATTAACTATTGCTACTTAATCATTTAATAATTCTGATAAAAACACGCTTGATTATTTATTTTAGAAATCATACGGGCTATAATCATTAATATGACTTTATTAACAATACTTAAATCAAAATTTATTTGAAGGAATGCTACTATATTACAATAATTGTAAACCAATTATGTAATAATAACTCGGAATAATTATTAAAAACTGCTCATCATTGTTATAGATGTCGGCGTCTTG